TGATAACAGACCCCTCTGAAAGGGCTCTGGGGTTTAAGTTTTGGTCATGCTCCCTTATCTTTGGTTCTGCAGCTTAGGTTTTTCAGTTCTTCTGAACATGCCCAAGGTTGCAAGACTTGTTTCCCACCCTGAGTTCTCTCTGCCTTCCTGCCAGTGTCTTCCATAGTTCTCCTAAGAAAACACAAACTTACAAAAATATAACACCATTATTCAAGCATGAGGTGGGGTGTGGGGAGCAACTTAGACTAGACTAAGTTACTGGAATTAAGACTTATTCAATGCATCTGCTCTCCCACAATATGGCGCTGGGAGAGGAGTAAACAACTTCTACGCAGCTGCCTCTTGCCAACTTGACTGATGAGCTGCAGGAGCTGATCCTGCTCCTGATTGGAGGAGAGCAGCATGCTCGGCGTGTGGGTAGCCGAGTTGGGATCGGTGGAAGAGGACTATAAAGGAGGAGAGAGACAACATGCACCAGGAACATCCGGATAACATCTGAGCAGCCCCCGAGAGAGCAGGCCCCCGCGGAAGTGGGGAAAGTGGCAGGGGGAACCGCCCCTCCATGGAGGTGGAGGGGTCGGCAGCCAACCAGGGAAGGACCAGCAGCAAATCCGGGAAGGGCCGAGCAGACAAAAGAACAGCGCAGGGTCCTGTGTCGTTCCTCCATGAAGAGGGGGAGCGACAGTGGGGAAGTTTGGGGAAGGCACAGTGAAGCACAGCATGAGTCTTTTCAGTTTTGAGAGTGTCAGGAAGAAACCCCATTAAGGCAGCACTCCAATTCTGTGGTGCAGTTTCACCTGGATGTTTCCAAGAAATGCTGTCCACTTAGCCTCTTCGCTGCTCATCAATGGTTTTCTGAGCTTTCTCTTCAGTGATGGACTCATCACATCATTTTCTCCACCCTTAATCCCCAGGCCTCCAGTATCCCAGGTCTTTCCTTTGACATTGCCAGGCCTTATTTGCGTGGTCCTTCTCTTACAGTGATCATAAAAAACTGTCTTTTCCCAGCAGTCTTTTCTTCTATTTTCCAATTAAACAAGGTCCTATATGAATCTCTTAATTTTTATCTCCCCTTTTCTTCCCTAATGGGTTAATTCTTCATAAACTTTTGATGAATGCTCTCTTCCATTAAATAACATAGCCAAAGCAGAGTTCCCTGACCTATATGGCTATATGAATTTTATATTGTGGTAGTTCTGTGATTCAAGTCTTTATGCCTCTCTCTGAAAATACCCTTGAATTTCTTTTCCCACATTTCTCATCATGTCTTGCTCTAGTAAAAAAAAAAAAAAAAAACTTCAATAGATGTGGGGCCATCGGTTATGCCACCACCTGTGACAATGACATCCCATATGGGCTCCGGTTCAAATGCTCTTTCTAATCCAACTCCCTGCTAATGTGCCTGGGAAAAGCAGTGGAAGACAGCCCAAGTGCTCGAGCCCCTGCACCTATGTGGAAGACATGAAAGAAGCTCCCGGCTCCTGGCTTTTGGGTAGTGAACCAGTAAATGGAAAATTTCCCTGTCTGTTTTTTTCTCTAACTCTGCCTTTCAAATAAATAAATATATCTTTTTAAAAAAATCAATACATTCAATATTCTCAGTAAAACTGCAACTCTTCAAACCTCAATGGACAGAAGCAGTGCATTTGTAACTTCTATCTTTATAAACTCATCCCAGAAATGACAATAAAATATTTTACTATGTTATGTCCTAAACAAAACATGTCACTGCTTCTAATATTCCAAGGATCAAGTTACAGCTCATTACCTTGTCAAAGTCTTTTAATATCTGGTGTCACTTAAACTTCCTAACATAATTTCTAAATACTTTCAACACAAGCATGTCTTCAGCCAATTGGTCTACTCTTTTCTTTCACCTGAGATACTTTCCCTTTAACTTACATTTCTTCTTCCCCAATTTTGATTTTATTTGAAGGTATAGCCTCTGTTCCACCCCCTAAACCCATTTGAAGGCTCTCATCACTCAAATTTTATCCCTAGGTAATTCCATTTTCTTCTTCTTTTTACTGAATTAAATAGTATCTTGATTCTTATGTATTTCACAACTATGGGAGTTTGTTTGTAATGTGAGCATATCCAAGAGGAATAAATCCAGAATGGGATCTTTTAAGGGCAAGTGATGCCTGAACATCAAAATATTGATTCTGAAATCAAGAAATAACTATAACATTACGGAAGGACTTTAAGACTTCAAACAGACACAAAAAGCATTGCTTAGAGTGCAGGAAATACAATTCTATAATGAGAATACAGTTTATGTACTTATAACTGCAGTGTCTATACAACAAAGCATAGAGCATTCAAAAGCATCTGATTTCATTCTCCTAGCCTTCTTTGGCTATGTTGAAGTAACTCCTACCATGTGTAGGGCGGCTCCCAGCTGACCTTAATTTTCCTCCTTGAATCATATCTCATATTTTTTTTTTTTTACTGTGGCATGACCATTCTTGTTTCACAGCTCTTATTACTAATTGTAAATAGTTCTTAGTCCCTCCTAGTGTTAGTATTATTAGCTCCAGAAATGACTTTTGAGGGCCAGAGTTTTGCCTTTCTATCCTAAACACTGAGTGTCTGTCAGCCTTATATGGGGATTAGAATTCTAACTTGCAGCTACTTTCTCTCTCTGTTCCCTGTGACTAGATTTTAAAACCCATTGTAGGAGTATTTATGAAAAGCACGGGCTATAATGTCAGATAGATTTCTACGTCTAAATTTTCTGCACTAAAAGGATATCAAATACCATGCCCTCATTTTAAAGGTTACTTCTTTGTGCCACCTTTACCCACTAACTAGCTACACCCACTCAAAGTCAGGGGTTTTTGTTTTAAAATTCCCTTGAATTGTCTGCCTTTTCTTCAGAACACTTTATCTTGTAGATAGTTAATTGTAGTTCAGGGGTGATTGGTTGATCAGTATATTTCTTCCCTATGACACTGTATGTCCCAGTGGAGCAGACACTGTCTCTCATTTAGTTCATCACTATTCCTAGGCTTTAGCTTTGGCCCAGCTCTTCAAATATTTCTTAAATGGAAGGATACCTTATAAGGTTGGTGAAGAAGGAAAAGTGATATACAGTACTGTATAAACATTATAAAGCACAGGCCTGTGTATCAGTATTTGGAGTCCATAATGTGGACTTTTTAATTCTCTAACTCTTGCTTGAAATTTGGAAATGTACCTCTTTCTTGCATAGCAACATGGACACATGCATGTTCTATGTCCCCAGAAGTCATTGATTATCCTTCAACTAAAGTAACTTGATTGACCTGAATGTGTGCTTGCATCTCTTCTACTCAAGCATTTCATTAGGCCTATGAAGCCGGGAGCCAAACCTCTCAGTGCTTTTCAATCCCTCAATATTTAGTATTCTCTCACACAGATGATAATGCAGAGAACTGCTAAATTTATGTTTCCAAACATGTCTTTTAAAGTGGCCATCTGTCTGTCCAGACCACCCAGAATGGCCTCAGAGATAGCCAAAGACTGGTAGAAAGCATACAGATGTTAGCATCTGTACCCTCAAAAGTTTCAAAGTTGTTAACTTTCCATTTACCAAAGTTTTGCTTGGGACCACAAAAAGACCCTTAGCAGCAGGAGAGAATTCATGAACAGCAAAATGAAACCTGGATTCATGCTGTGGTCATTTGAGAGAATCTGGCGTTCCTGCCAGCCCACAGTAGGTATTTGGTTAAAAGCTGCTGCATAGATTTGGAGGAAGAAAAACCTCGGTGGCTCTCAGCATTGCTTACCTTTCAATAGAGAGCTACCAGAAATTCCCTTTGCTCTCCACTACTGGATGGACACAGCAGGCAGGCAGAGTGGCTTCGCCGGTCCTGAGGTGAAGTGTATTAACACCACGCGCCTCCACGTTCTGGGCTGAAGACACCGTGCAGAAGTTTGGGAAGCGCCTCGGAGAGGGAAGTTTGGCTGTCTTCAAGTCAGGAGAAGCTCCTGAGGCAGTCGGGCTGTAAAGGCCAGCTGTGGGGAGAAGAAATTCAACATTAAAAGTTGTCGCCGCGACTGTTTCAAACGTAGGGAGAAAGAGTAGGAAAGACTGGTAGGGGGGCAGGGAGAAAAAGGGACTGGTAAAGGAAAAGCAGGAGAGGCTGTTACACCTCTTCTTCCGTCTCTCCCTCCCTGCAGGAGCTAAAAAGTTTGCCCGCGCAGCTTTCGGGACGGGTCAGAGCGCGCTTCCGCGGCAGACCCGCGAAGAGAAGCGCCCGGCTCGCCCTCGCCCCGGCCGGTGCTCCTGGATCCCGTGAGGCTCCGGCCGCAGGCAGCTCTCGCTCTGGCGAAGCCTCCCCTCCCTCACCCACCCTCCTCCCGGAAAAGAAAAAGGAAAGCTCGAGCCTGGACACCGGCCCTAGCCCTCCCCCTCTTCCTGGGGGAGCTGAGGTAGAAAGTGCGGCTTTTCCAGTGATTCCCTGGCGAAAGGGAGGGAGTTGGCGAAGAACGCACGCAGCCCGCAGCCCCTCGGCGGAGCCCTAGCGGGCCGGGCTGCCACGGGCCACAGGGCCCGGAGCGCTCGCGGGCCCCCAACGCGCCCCCGCGGCCCGGCGAGGGAGTCGCCGCCTGAAGTTCCGGCGAAGGGGGTGGTGCGCCCTGGAGCAAGATCAGGAAATGGCCTTTTTCTCACTTTGCCGCCTGCTGCGCGTCGGGGCAGTCGGCAGACGTCTAGGAGTGGACGGGGACAAGCGGAGCGCCCTGGCAAAGCGGAGAAGGTGACTGGGAAGCGGGGCCCCTCCGGGCCGCCAGTCGTCTAACTGGGTAAGAGCGAGATGTACAGGCCGGATTTGGTTGAGCGTTCCAGGTGTGGCGAGCGCCGGGCCAGCTAAGGTCCTACAGCCCTGGGGGCTCCGGGGCACCCACAGCACGCCCAGAATTCCCCGGCGTCCAGGGCGCTCCGGCCGCTACGAGTCTCCGCCCCCGTAAGCCTCAATGCCTCACTTGATCTTTCCCCACTTCCCCAGAACTTTGGGGCGGAGATACTAACTTTCTCTGTGGAAGTTGCTCTGGGGAGCGAGGAGGAGGATAAAGTGAAGTTTGATGGAGAAGAGCAACTCCTCTGCGTCTTTCCCCGACGTCCGATCCGCTGAGCCATCACTTTGAGAAGACTGGAAAGTTGTTGGAAGTGGGAAGGGCTGAGAGGCCCGCAGGCTTTCTTCCCAGGTGGAGATCCTCCGCCGTCCGTGGGGTATCCCGCTCCGCGTGCATGTGTGCGCCGGCGGCGGCGCGGGGTGCGTGCTTCTGCGCTGGGAGTCTGAGTGCGCACCCGAGTGAATGGCCCCCAGGAGCGCAGCGGGGCCTCAGCCTCCCCCGTCTCCGCAGGCCTGGATCTGCCCTGGGAAGATGCTAGCCATGGGAGCGTTGGCAGGCTTCTGGGTCCTCAGCCTCCTCACCTATGGCTACCTGTCGTGGGGCCATGGTTTAGAGGAAGAGGAGGAAGGGGCCTTAGGAGCTCCAGCTGCGGAGAGACAAGAGCCTAGCGCAACAGCAGCCGCCACCTCCCAGCCCCATCTCATTTTCATCCTTGCGGATGACCAGGGATTTAGAGATGTGGGCTACCACGGATCTGAGATAAAGACGCCCACTCTTGACAAGCTCGCTGCTGAAGGAGTTAAACTGGAGAACTACTATGTCCAGCCGATTTGCACACCATCCAGGAGTCAGTTTATTACTGGAAAGTAAGTATCAGTACATCTTTTATTTATTCTTTGGAGAGATCTTAAGCATTGGAGATTAAGCTCTAATTTAAGGAAATGACAAAGCATGGGAAACTGGAATGAATGAATGTTGGGTGGATGGATGGTATTGAATTGATGGTGTTAAAATGGATGCTGTGTTAATGATCTTGACAGTCTATTCACTTGTCTAGTCTTTTCCTTATTCTCAGAGCTATGAGTTTTTAAATGAAACCAGGGCTTGTTAACATTTGCTTAACAGAGAGCTCTAGATCTAGTTCTATTCCAGTGCTATTGTCAACTTCCAGCATGCTCAGATTTCTCAGCCTTTATAATAGAATTCACACTCATCATCACTGATAAGAAAGATCAAGATTTTTTCTGTGACTTTTTGTTTGTTCTTGATGTATGAGCAAAGCCACAGGTTGTCACAGGGAGAAAGGGGCCCAGGAAGCAGATGGAAAGTAATGGTGATGTAAATATGGCCGGATAGGTATGAATTTGTTTGGGTCTTTGATAGATAATTTTCTATTATGGGTCACTATTCAAAAACATTTTCAAATACAAAGGCAGTTCTCAAAATGCAAGAAGATTCAATGATAAATGCTCAACAGGAGTCAAACTTCATCTTAAGTTCTTTACTGTTCCTCCAATGTCTGGAAACTTTTGGAGTAACAAAAATCAGATTATTTGAACGCTAAAGTGAAGAGTTTATAATACTGTCATCACTTTGATAAATAGCTAAGCTTAAGGTGTTCACCTATTTTCACACTGTTATCCTATCAGAAAATAGGCTACTGTAATTGATTTATACGTCCAGATTCAGAGAACCCCTAAGTGTTGATAGTTTCTATCTGCATGCCTACTGATTTCAGCTGCAGTGCAGAGAACCCTTGCTTTAGTGAAGTTGTTCTTGGAATTGGATCCTCTAAGAGTAGCCAGTATCCTTTGGAAAAATAAAGACTGTATTCTGTCAGAATCTCTGTCTTGCAGAGACTTGCTTACATCATGATTTCCATTGCTTAGCGAACTGTCATAAATTAGCATCACCGCCAGTAAAGAAAAAAAAACTCATCTTTTCCGCTCTTGAGAGAGAAGAGACACCTCACTGTACTTCAGAGTCATTTTAAAGGTTAACTGTACCACCAGAAAGTCAAGGACCCGTGGTATTTAAAAAGGAGCAGATTGTTAGTTGTAAAATCACAAGTCCATCTGGTGGCCTGGAAATCAAGTTCTTCATGTCTGATCTGAGCCACCTTATATTTGGTTCATGCAATAAATGAGTCATAAACCCTTGACCTCATCAGCTACTTTATAAAGTTTAGATCTACATAAATACAAAAAATAGTTGAAACTGTGTGGCTGAATTATATGAATTTTATTTGTCACAGTAATGTATATGTTCAAGGCTCTTCACTAAATTAGAAACTTTAATTCTGAAACATTATCTTACAGTGATAAAATACCTGTATCTATGTTTTGCCTTTTAACTTGTATGTGTACTTACTGAGATGGAACAGAAACTACGTGGAAATAAATTGTAATTTTTCTCTGTGGTCAAAGATTGACTCCTTGATACTTTGAGTGCCATCAGATATCTCAGAAGATTTCCTTTTAAGATTTTCTATTCAATGTCTTTTTGTTTTGTAGACAAGAACTTCATAGCTGCTGTGATTTGCTTTAACTTTCTATTTGAATTAAACAATTCAGGATGTTTTCACTTGCAGTTCTCCTTTAAGACAAATTGCTGGACCTTCAAGAGTGGGGAACATCCAGCCTATGGCCTCATAAGGCCCACAAAATCACTGGGTCTGGCCCTGCCAAGGCAACCTCAGGGAGGACTCGAAAAATCAATAAATCTGTAGCAGACTGAGTTTCAAGTTCATACTTGTGTGAATTATGTTCTAAATATGGTGTTATAAATATACAAATGGCCCTTGGCAGTAAAAACAGTTCCCCACTCCTGTAACCCTTAGGTAACATAGAAAGACACTGGCTATAGAAGCCTTCTCCTGGGTTGAATATTAATAATGCAGGACCCAGAGAATAGGGGCATTGGTTCTATGGTTCCTGTCCTTGCCTTCTGGATCCTCTAAAGCAAGAAGGGCAACAATAAAACCCTAAATGGATTACCTTATTTTAAGGGAAGGAGTGTTTCCTGCAAAATGTTGAGAGGCTTCAAATATTTTCACATGACAAAGACAGAACCTAAAAGATGGAAGCAGGAGTAACTTTTGATGATATCAACAAAGCAACCTCCTCTTATGGTTTGCTGATGTCAAAATGTAAAAATCTTTCTGCTATAGAAATTATAGCAAATTCCAGATTCTTTTAATGATTTTTAAAAATACCAGTCTGTCAATAAGCATGTATTGAGTGAAAGTTCCTGTACAGTAGCTGTGAGGCACAGGTAAGGAGTAATCCCTAATTTGTAGATGGTAGTTCTCAAATTTGAGTATGTAGAAAGAATCGCTCCAAATACTAGTTGAAATTCAGATTTCTGGGCCCACCAGTTGTTCAGCTTTAGCAGATCTGGGGTGTAGTCCAGAAATCAATAGTGATTTAAACAGCATGTCAGGTTATTCTGATGGTAGCACTGTTAATATTAAATTAAGGGTGTTGGTATTACATGCTAGCTACTGTTGGGCAGTGGTCATATTCTAGAATAATGCACTTATGTACATTATCTCATTTAATCCTTACAGCAACTCTATGAGGTTGTTGCTGTAGTTATCTGGTTTGTATAGATATGGTAACAGATTGCAAGAGGGGTAGTAAAGCATGGTTCTGTGCCCTAGACTTTGAGAAACAGCACTCCAGGTGTTCAGAGTTGGCCTGGTGGGACACAAGGTTGTTTGGAAAAGTGGCTGCCCTCTAGAAATACTGTGGTGAGCATTATTAACAAATGCGAAGCTAACTCTGATAATGTGCCTCTGTAACAGCATACCTGATAAATTCATTTTGCACAACCCTTACCAGCTGCTGCCTCTTACCAGATAATCAATCCCCTGACTTCTATCATCATAGATTAATTTTGCCTGTTTTTGAACTTTACATAGATGGAATTACAGTGAAAACACTATGCACAGGGTTTTTCAAGGCTTATTTATTTATTTTGGCAGAGTGACAGAGAGAGAGAGGGAGAGACAGAGACAAAGATCTTCCTCACTAATTCACTCTCTAAATACCCACAAAACTGAGGCTGGGGCAGGCTGAAGCCAGAAGCCTAGAACTCCATCCAGACCTTGCATGTGGTGGCAAAGGCCCAAGCACTTAAGCTATTATGTGCTGCCTTCCCAGCAGAGTTGGAGTTGGAGTTGGAGTAGCCAGGACCCGAATCAGAACTCTGATGTGAGATGTGGGCATACTAAGCGGTGGCTTTAACCCACTGTGTTACAATGCTGACACCAGCTTCTTCCTTTTGAGATTATTATATTTGTAACGATTTTTCATGTTGTTGCCTATAGACATAATTCATTCATTGTCATTACTGAATAGTGCTCCTGTGTAAATATACTGCAACTTGTTTATGCATTCTACCACTGATGGGCCTTTTGAGTTGTTTCCAGTGCTGAGCTATTATGAATATGCTGCCATAAACATACTTGTCTATATTTTTTGATGAAAATAGGTATGCATTTCTCTTGGATATCTATCAAGAAGTAGAATTGCTGTGGTATAGGGATGTGTGTGTTCAGTTTTTATAGAAACTTCCCAACAGTTTCCCAAAGTGATTCTACCAGTTTATACTCTCACTAGTGGTTGCATGCAAAGCTGCAATTGCTTCACATCATTGCCAACATTTGGCATTATTATTTTTTTTATTTTGGTCTTTAAGGTTATGATACACTGGTGCACCATCATGGATTCTATTTGTACTTCCTTGATGAATAATGGAAATTGAGCATGTTTTCATATTTTTATGAACTGCTTGGATATTCCCCTTTAAGAAGTATTGATCCAAGCCTTTTGCTTACTTTCTCTTTAGGTGATTGCTTTTTCCTTATTGATTTGTGGTAGAGCTGTTCATATATTCTGTTCCTTTGTCAGGTTCTGTTTGGTGTGAATATCTTCTGCTGGTTGCTTTTTCACTCTTCTAATAGTGTTTTTTGGTGAACAGATGGTTTTAATATGATTGTGATTCAGTTTATAACTTATTTTGTATCCAACACAATATAGTCTTATCCCAAGATTGTGACAGTGGTCTATTTTTCTTGTTTTATTTTATTTTTGATTGAGGTCTATAATTTATCTAGATTAATTTTTCAGTTGGGTGCAAATAGGTTCAATATTTTTTACCATATGTATGTACTTTTGCCTGATTTAAAAAGAATAAACTTTCCCCACTGCACTGCAACATCACCTTTTTCATAACTCAGATAAAAGGATATGCTTGATTTCTCCCTGGCCCCTGTTATGTTCCACTGTTCTCTTTGTCTCTTTGTGACAATACCACTTTCTCTTTACTATAGCTGTATTATAAGTATTCATACTTAGAATGTAAGTCCCTTGTTTGTTCTTCAAAATGGCCTTGGCAGTTCTTTATCTATATCTATTCATTCATTTTAATAGGAAAGAAGAAAGTACAGAGTTGCAGATGCAATTAAATTCTGAGATTTAGTTTGGGGAATGTGAGGTAGTTCCCTTCTGAATTACTGTACTGTAGGTGAAATAACAAATGAGATCATTAGCTGGGAATAAAGATATGGAGGCTTAAAGAGAGAGAGATACAAAGTATTCCTTAGGAGAAGGAAAAGTGAACTAAGTAGGAAAAAGCAGAGGAATGAGAGCCTGCTTGAGATTTGTACTCATAAATGTTAGCCAAGGCCATTCATCATTTGTTTTCTTACTCCGCCTTCAGGTGCTGGTGTGCAGGAACAGCACAGTTAAAGACGTAGACTTAACTATATTTTGGGAATTTCCAATCAAATATGGTGGTGGATTATAGAATGTGAACTTGGCAATGAAAAGAAGAAGACTCCAAGGGGACTGTGTTCTTTAAA